CCTGGTGGATTGGTTTTGAACCGATTGTAGCAGGATATCGGTTTTGGCAGGATCGGTTTTGAGAGGGTCGACAGTATTATTATAATTAGGGTTGTAAAGTTGTAACTTATATACTTACCTTATATATAAGTTACATATAAATTATATTTAAAATTTTTTGATATAAACAAATTAATTTATACTAATCTAATCCCTAGTAAGATAGTAAACATTTTATCAAAAATACCTTTTAACAACTTAATTTATTAATAATTAATTTATCAACAAGTTTATTTTACTAATAAATTCATTTTGTTAATAGTTTATTTCATTAATAAAGTAATTTTAATTATTTTATTAGAATTAAATTAGAGTTGAAGTTAGTATATTTTATAAAAAATAATTATCAATAAAATGAGTTATTAGTAAAATAACTGTTAGTGAAATAAACTTGTTGGTAAATTAACTATTAGCAAAATAAACTTATTAATAAGTTAATTATCAGTAAAGCAATTGTTAATAAAATAATATATATCTTATATAGTATATATTATATTATATTATATATAATTTAGCTTACAAACTTACATGTAAGTAGGGTCCAGAATCAGCAGCCCATATGATTTTAAAAATTTTGAGGGCTGTAAAAATAATATTTCACAATTGTGCACAAACCAAAATCAGTATGAATAATTAGTATAATAAACTCACTTTTGGTTAATAGGCTCCATTTGTATCTTACATATGTCTGCTACCAGTAGAAGGTCTTTAAAGTCAGGTAAAATCAGACCCAGGCTTAGCCTGTGAACCTGATTCTACCTGACTTTAAAGACCTTCTACTGGTAGCAAACACATATAAGGTACAAATAGAGCCTATTGGCTGAAAGTGGGTTTATCATACTAATTGTATATACTGATTTTGGTTTGTGCACAATTGTAAAATATTATTTTTATAGCCTTTAAAATTTCTAAAATCATATGGGCTACCGATTCTAGACCCTATATATAAGTAAGGTTTAGATTCTATAGCTTAGTGAATAAGCTCCTATCCCCCCACAAACAAGGTTGATAGTTTGAGTTTGGCTGGAGGTAAAATATTCTGTAATCTAAAAAGGAGTCTATAATTATACATAAAACTCTGTAAAAGTTCAAGTGAAAGTATATATTTGGTTTAAGAAATTCTTAGAAAAAACTAGTATAGCAGAACATAGCCACTACTATAGTAAGAAATGTGAAGAATGTTGTCAATGTTTGTGAAAAAAATTGGCCTTACCTAATATAAAATCACCTCTGGTATAAAAAATATAGATAAGATGTAGCTGTGAAAAACCATCTCCTTCAGTAGAATTTATCTCATAGATAAAGGTTGAAGAGAAAAAACCTTAATTGAAGTTCAGGTAATTAGATAATATTAAAAATTAGAGTGTTTAAATAGAAGACCCACAAGTAGGTCTCAGGTATGGCAATAAGTAGAGAACCCTTGGGCAGAACTCTTAAATAGACAATGACTAAAGTTGTACATGTGGCTTATTGTACCCTTATTGATATGTTACTGTAAACCTTTCTGTAAATATGGACTGCAGATACTTTAATAAAGAAAAATCCCCTGACCATTGAGGTTCTATAAACTGTAAAAAAAAACTTACATGTAAGTTACATGGCTTTTAACCTACATAAAAAAATTAATAATTGATGTAAATTTACAACCCTAGTTGTATTAAAATAAAAGTGTATTAGAGCTTATACAATCTCTTGATTACTCTGTCAATAATAAATTTTAACCAATCAGCAGCCCCAGGTTTTTTTGACCGAAATGATGATCACGATCAATTTTTCGACCAAACAAATCGTTCAGTTAACTCATTGAGACGCTTGAGAACGGCCTAAATCATTTATTCTAACAAAGAAAATAATGATAGAAAAAAAAGTATTTTTAATTTGAAAATATTCTATTAGAATACGATTAATTTATTCAATATTGCTATACTTAAGTTCATGCACCAGTAATTAAGTTCATGTATTTGGTTTTTACAGTATCCCTTAAACAGTTTTGCAAATTCACCTGCAAATTTCATGATTAAGCTACAAAATTATATTAGATTGTAGTATATATCGTAGTATATGTGAAGTTAAGTTGGCGGTTTAAAGGATAGTTTCTAGTAAATTGTTTTCTGGTCAGTGAATGCTAGCTAATTTAAACATTGGTTTTGTTTTAAAATAAACCTTATAGTTTAAGAAACAAATGCACATAGCCCTGCTCCATATAAAATGATTATTACCGTATAAGTGCAAATAACGCAATGGCATTATTTGTGCTTATACGTGTAATCAATTTTATTAATAATGGGATCATATTATGCTTGAGTTCTAAAAAGAAATCTTGTTTAAAAAAAATCATTGCAAAGCTTGTAAAAATTGGTTACCTAATTTTTGAGCAAAATCATCAAGAGACAACACTATCACATATGAGTGCCGCCAAGGGAAAACCAGTAATTGTTAGTTTTCCGAAATTTTATTTTCGCAACGACTTATAAGAATCTGATAATGCCTGTTTCTAAAAGTGAAATTTCCGAAAATCAAGAATTACTGGTTTTACCTTGGCGGCACTCATATAAATATTTGTCGCGGCTGAAGCTGGAAATTAGGTACATGCCTCTATTTAAAAATATAAACCCTACCAATATCAACAAACCCTAAATCCTAGCCTAATTTAAACGAAAAAAAAAAGCTAGAAAAATACGCACCAAAAAATAATGAAAATTTCATATTAAAATAAAATTTTCAGCAGCGACATTATTTTTTTAGGAAATGATTTCCTATTTATACATCATAATTTTATTATAGCTGTTTTCAAAAAGATGTGGAATGGGCAGATCATCATATTACGGGAAATTCGCCAAGATTTCCAAATTCTCTGATTCCCCATATGGGTACAGTCGAACCTCTATAATTGCACCCCCTCGGGACCATAAGACAATTTTTAAAAATGTTCATTTAGAGAGGGTGTGCATTTATAGAGGGTATTTTTACTATGTTTTTGCATCTATTTAGGGAGAATTTATACTGTATATGGGTGCAATTATAGAGGGTGCAATTATGGAGGTTCGACTGCATATGGAAATCGGTTTCCACATCTTTTTGAAAACAGCTGTAATTGAAACTATTTATGCTTCTACATATCTTTTTCCAACTAGAAGATGTCCAAAAGAAGATTCCCTTCGAAAGTGTCTTGATCAATACATCAAGGGACCAATCAATTTTCGAGATGACCTTTTTGCCTATAATGCTGATCTTAACGCAGAATATAATACGTAAACGAATTATCCATTTTCCAGTAGCATTTGTTCATCCTGTAGATACATTAGATATTCAAAATACTATTAAATGTGGAGCAAAATTAAATTTCCCAATAGTTGCAAGATCAGACGGTCATTCAGTGAATGTTACAGTATTGGAGATAAAGATTGTTATTTAGTTATTGATCTTGTAACCTTGAACAAAATTACCATCGATGTAACTTCACAGACCGCTATAATTGGAGCGGGAAATACAATAGACTCATTATATTACAATGTATACAAATATGGTTTTGCATATCCAAGTTGGTGGATCTATAATGGGTGGTATAAGTATTGCTTAAAAATTGATTGTGTACTTTTTTTATATTTTTAAACTACAAAAAATTATAAACCTCAATGTTACTTTAACAGGGTGCAGGATTTCTTGGTCAAAAATTTGGATATTCATCAGATAATATTCTTGATGCACAAATTATTTTAGCAAATGGGACAATGCAAAAGAATATCCAGAACTTCTCTGGGCTATTCGAGGAGCAGGAAATGCAGGCTATGGAATTGTTACGGCTTTAACCTTCAGGATATATCCGATTCAGAAGATCGTAACTTATCTTTCTTTTGTATATGATTTGGATCAGACTCCATTACTTATTTCAGTAACAAATTAAATTGGGAATAATTTTCATCATAATTTAACTTTCGCAATGTTAATTTCTAAATTCCAAACAGTTATTACTGGGATTTATTTAGGATCTGCAGATGAATTGCAACCTTAGGCCACGCAAAGTTAATTTTTCGTTTTGCATAACATGGTATTTCAAAATTCCGGTCGGCGGGTCAGA